CACAGCTCCACTGTTGCCATGTAGAACTTAGTTTTTCCTCTAGTATTTAATTTCTCAGAAGTATTTTATGTTGAAGACAGCTCACCCTTGAATGATAATTAGTGTTTTAGCAACAGCTGAATTACTAGATTAAAGTCCCTGCACTGAGCAGGAGGTTGGAGTAGGTGACAGCCTCAGGTCCCATCCCAGCCTGCAGTACTTACAGCTGCAATAAAAACATTTAAACACTGATGGATCAGACCAGAAGAAAACAAGGACTTAAGCACTGGTTTGTCTGGTTTCAAGGCAACTTTCTCTTTTATGACACTTTTATTTAATATTTTATAAAACTCTCAAGCCAAACACACAACTCAATTTCTTTTACTCAAATTCACCGAAGATATTTACAGAACTGTAACTGACTTCAACACTTCCTCAAAATGTAGCACTTTGGAGGCTGAACCTGACAGAATGGCTTGCATCCCGATTAACACTTCAGTACAAAGCAGGACAGAGCTATCCAGCTGTGAACAAAGGTTCCAGAAAGCTTGGGTCAGCTTACTGTCCAGGAGACCTTGATCCCCAAGGCTGGGAGATCTGGCTCAGTAGTTAGTTTTACAGTGCTTAGACATTTTTTACAGTAAGCCACAGCCTGTTTATTAGCTGTCATATCCTATTCCTGAAGCCTTTTCTTCTAAATCTGAAACAGTCTGAAGAAAAGGGAAATTCATGAAAGGCAAAAGGATTAGTCTCAGGTGGTGCAGACTCCACAGAACAATGGGAACTGCAGGCAGACTCTGCTTTTGTTTTCAGTCTTTTAAGAAAATACGGGAACATATCCAATGTCCACAGTGATCTTAGTATAAAGAGGATGCTTGGTCCTAGAAAGGAGCTTGAACTCCAGTGAATTCATTCCATCGGCTTTCCATGTTTTTCTGGTGTTGTGTTGGGAAGTTGGCCTGAAGAAGGAAGAATACCTGCAGTTAGACAGAAGAACGAAGGTGATGTTTGCAGCTGAAGCTGCACAAGAAAGAGATTCAGAGGGCACAAGGGGTTAGCATAAAGCCCCAAGAAAACTCTTTCCACATGACACAGACTAAACAGAGGAAGTTCACACCGAGTATTCTGAACAAGGAGGACAGGACAGGACAGGAACCTAATCAGACAGGGAGACCAGAGAGGTGGCAACTACAGTCTGCAAAAATTCAAGAAGCAGCTTAGCAGAGAGACCTGGGAGTGCAACACAGGCTTGCAGCAATGAGGTACATAGGCTGCTGTAGGTAGGTTTTTAGACAGGGTTGTTATGGAAACCTGAGTTCTGAGATGATAAAGAGAAATCTGCATTGAGATTTCATGAGGAGCCTCCACCACACTTGACCTAACACCCTCCTCCAGCTCTTCTATATAAAACAGTCTTTGATAAAGTCTCTCATAGCACCTTTCTCATGTCTTCAAACTAGAATACTGCTTTCCACTCTTTTAATGGCACATTCTAACTCCACACAGATTGAAGAGCAAGCTTTTATTACAGAGAAGCTGTACAAAGTGCCTCTTCAAACTCTAACTCTCCCTATTTACAAGACAGTATTTTTTGTTACGTTATTCAGGGAGTTAAACTTTTGATGCTTAAGTCTTGACATGTCTTAGCTTCCTAGCTAGTATGTGTCCTTCAAAATAGGAAGAAAAAAGGTAGGAAACTAGGAGAAACCTTTCAAATGCAAAGACAGGAGCTGAACGATACAGTTGAAACTGACTGGGAACTGCTTTTAAATAGCCACCCTAAAGCAGAAAAAGGAGTGGCACGAGGTATACTTACTGCCTGTTCTGAGGCAGATGACAGTAACAGTCAAGGCAAAGAGAAGCCTCCTAACTGTCCCCCCCAGTTACCTTCTCCAAGGCTCTTGTGTCTCTCTCTCTTCCTTGTAGTTCATCACTTTGTAGCGTCCAAGGTGAGTGGGAACTGCTTTTAAATAGCCACCCTAAAGCAGAAAAAGGAGTGGCACGAGGTATACTTACTGCCTGTTCTGAGGCAGATGACAGTAACAGTCAAGGCAAAGAGAAGCCTCCTAACTGTCCCCCCCAGTTACCTTCTCCAAGGCTCTTGTGTCTCTCTCTCTTCCTTGTAGTTCATCACTTTGTAGCGTCCAAGGTGAGGTCTGGACTTTTTTTTTTTCCTGCTAACTGAATCCTTTAAAACAATACACAAAAGTGTTTGCTGAGGTATAAAGATAGCATTGCCAGACTTTTAGTCAAAGATGATTTTCAGTGTCAATGCAATGAAAAGAAAATGCAGAAGCACCACAGGGTTCTAGGCCAAGCTGAGGCTAGAAAGCTCCAGCTGCAGTGCACTTCGACAGGCTGCAAGAGGATTATAGCAAGTCGGCAATGAACAACATCATACAGAGCACTCAAGAGCAATTCCCATAAATCTAACAATTGAGCATTATTCCACTATCTTCTAAGTGCAGAGCTTTTGTTGCCTGGAGGTCCATCACCTAAACTTAACAAAAGAAAGACCCCAAACTTGCAGCTTCTGAAAGGAAGCCAGTCCTGAGTTTCCAAACCGGATTAAGGCTCTCTGTTCTTTCAGAAGTGCCATTCATTCAGATGGCCTGATTAGAGGGCTGGTTCATAGGAGATTAGTGATAAATACAGGCACCAGACAAACAAATGTGAGCTGCTCAGCTGCAGGACAGTTAGATAAGAAAAGGCTGAACTGAAGGCTCAGAATTCCAGAACAGAGCTCCTGACATTCAAGCAACCCCTTGCTGATAGGATCCATGTTATTTTGCCAATAAAAACTGCAGTAGTGCTATGGAGCTACCAAACCTCTGTTATCACAGGACAGCCCTTACACAGAGAAAATTCTTCTGAGCCTAAGAATGAATGTTTGCTCAGTTGAGGTTATCTGACTGGCATG